TGGGTTGGCGCTGTTGGCAAAGCACTGTAAAACACGCCACCCCAAATATAGCTCCCATAGTATGCGCTACCAAAGACGCGTGACTCATGGACGAGTGGATTGAGGATAGCTGTTTACGGAAACCTCACAGGTGGAGTGATGTAGGAGATTGCCGGACACATAGACGTGTTGAGTGATTATAGCTGTGTACTGAAACCTCAAGGGTTGAGTGAGCTGTGAGATTGTCAGACACGTGGACGGGTTGAGTGGGGATAGCTGCATTCTGAAACCCCCCGGGTTGAGTGATGTCGGAGTGCCGGACACATAGTCTAGACGCGTTGAGTGAGGATAGACACATACGAACCTCACAGGTGATTTGTGATGGAGATTGCCGGACACCTAGACGTGTTGAGTGAGGATAGCGGCATACTGAAACCTCACAGATGGATTGGTTATTGAGTTTGCCAGACACTAAGACGTGTTGAGTGAGGACAGCTGCATACTGAAACCTCACAGATGCATTGGTTTTTGAGTTTGCCAGACACATAGATCTAGATGGCATATGCGCTGAGTGGGGATACCTGCATACTGAAACCTCACAGATGGATTGGTTTTTGAGTTTGCTAGATACATAGACGCGCTGAGTGGGGATAACTACGTACTGAAACATCACGAGTTGAGTGATGTTGGATAGTGCCAGACACATAATAGATAGACGCTTTGAGTGAGGAAAGACACGTACTTAAACCTCACAGGTGATTTGAATTGGAGATTGCCGGACACAAGACGTGTTGAATGAAGATAGCTGCATGCTACTGAAACCTCACAGATGGATTGGTCTTTGAGTTTGCCAAACACATAGACGCGCTGAGTGGGGATAGCTACATACAACCTCACGAGTTGAGTAAAGTTGGATAGTGCCGGACACATGGACGCATTGAGTGAGGAAAGATACATACTGAAACCTCACAGGTGATTTGTATTGGAGATTGCCGGACACCTAGATAGGCACGTTGAGTGAGGATAGCTGCATACTGAAACCTCACAGATGGATAAGGTTTTTGAGTATGCCAGATATACAGACGCGCTGAGTGGGGATAGCTACATACTGAAACCTCACGAGTTGAGTGATGTTGGATAGTGCCGGACACATAGACGCTTTGAGTGAGGAAAGGCACATATTGAGACCTAACGGGTTGATTGACGTTTGCGACTGCCGGACAAATAGACGCATTGAGTGAGGAAAGCTGCATACTGAAACCTCACAGATTGATGTGTATTGGAGATTGCCGGACACATAGACGCGTTGAGTGAGGATAGCTGTATACTGACAATCCACAGGTCTAGTAGCTATAGTGAGGGAACAATTCGAGAACGCAGTACACATAGACTCGACCCCCCAACCCGTACCCGAACCCCCCCTGAAAAATAGAGGCCATGCGCCCCCCCCTCTCTACCTCCCCCAGAGGATTAGGAGGGTACAGTCCAAAGTACGCACAAGCTTATCTAAGGTTAGTCTAATGCCTATTGGTTCGGCAGTAAAAAAAAATACGTTATTCCCCCATTGGGCGGTGGAGGACGTAGAGCTAAGACACCCCAAGACCCTCCGGCGTGAGATCCAAAATGGATCGGACGGTGGAAGGGGGGGGGGTGTTCGTTGCTTGAAGTGGATCGGTGAAATATAGAGCCAACAAAGCAAAGCTTATTACTCACGTCGAGCAAGCTGAACGACCGGACCAACCACGCAAAAACTGCGGA